GAGGACACGAAATTCGATGGAATAGCTAATAGCCTGGAAGACAGAAACAAATCTTCAAAAAGATCCTGATAGGCTTGAGCAGTGAGCTGGAAACAACAGAATGAACTTTCACAGGGATGTGCAAAGTTCTACACTGGGGGGGGGGAACAAACACACAGTTTGGAGGATACTTGGCTCAGAAATACTACAAGCAAGAAGGCTCTTGCCATTGTTATAGATCACAAGCTGAGTATGAGTCAACAGTATGATGTGGCTCAAAAAAAGACAAATGTTATTTTAGGATGCATTAACAGATGTATAGTCTCCCAATCCTATGCAGTACTCCTTCCCCTCTACAGTATTTGGCACTGTTTAGGCCTAATCTTGAGTACTGTATCCATTTCTGGACACTGCACTTCAGGAAGGATGCCAACAAACTGCAACAAGTTCAGAGGAGGGCAACAAGGATGATCAGGGGGCTGGAAACCAAGCCTTATGAGGAAAGAATGGAAGAACTGGGCATTTTTAGCCTTGAGAAAGGAAAACTGAAGGGAGATATGATAGCACTTTTAAATACTTGAAAGATTGTCATACAAACGAGGGGCAGAATCTGTTCTTAATCATCCTAGAGTGCAAGATACATAATAATGGGCTCAAGTTACAGGAAGCCAGATTTCAGTTGAATACCAGGGAAAACCTCTTAATTGTTAGAGCAGTACAAGAATTGTGTCAATTACCTTGGGAGGTGGTAAGTGCTCCAACACTGGAGGCACTGAAGAGAAAATTAGAAAACCATCTCTCAGATATACTTTGATTCTGATTCCTGCATTGAATGGGGGGGGGGGGTTGGACTTGACGGCTTTATAGGCCCCTTCCAGTTCCATTATTTTACAATTCTATCACATATGCTTGAAATGGAGCCAGCCAGAGGGATCATGACAGGCGCTCATAAAACTGCAGGCAGGACTGCTCTGGGGACAGTTTGGTTAGCTCTAGTGGCTATGTCATGTGATTGCTGGAAAAAAAGAGTGAACCAAACCATCCCTGCAGTGGACTGAACCATGGAACAAATCCCTGTATGATTTAATGCTCAACGTATGGATATGAGGGTACTTGCTGGGACAAAACCTTTTAAAATATAATTTTCCTTAAATATATAAAAATTACTTTGGTCTTGATCAGTCCAGTTTTTCTGTCTATTATAGGAAGATAATGAGCTTTGGATACAGCTTTTCATGAATAGAAAAGGTAATGTATGACTTGGCTCAATGTCAGGTCCCCCTTTGCCCAAATTTTCCTCTTTTGGTAGAAATAGCAGAACTCTCAGGTTCTTGTTCAAATTAGGTATGGTAGCGAGGCCAAGAGGATTGCTGGTTCAGATGCATCTTTCATAACGGATAGAAAAATGACAGTCTAAAGAGATCATACAGAGAAGAACTGGCAAAAATAACCAGGTTACCAGGCAATATTCTGTCATTAGTTTAAGCTCCCTTGAGTTGTGGTTTCTTCTTTTGCCTTTAAATATCTCTGAAGAGCCCTTTTAAATTATAATATCTTGGAAACTCCTGGCAGGTTTGGAACTTTATTTTGTTTGGCAGTGTAGGGCATTATGTTGGCCCATGTATATTGCCTCCATCTACAGTCAAACTCTGCTTCTTTAGTGCTTGCAGCATATGAGTGGCGGTGGCAATCACTCACTTGTCTTTTAAAGCATCTGCAAATGATCAGTTAACATGCATTATTGTTGGCCACAAAATTATATAAGCTGCTGCCTGCAGAGCAAAAGGAATGGGTTTGGGTTTCAAGACATGTGGAAAAAGGTGAAGTATCCAAGTGATGCTCGTGGCTCTCAAAATCATGGGGTGGGCAGTTAGGGCAAACCTCAACGTCCTTACTAACACATCTGAACACAGTTTTATTTTGTATTCAATGTATAGAGCAGAGAATGTGGAGGACTGATTAGGCGACTTCTTGTATTTTCATTGCCTTTTTGCCACCTTCTCTGGTTTATATATCTCTCTCCCCCTCTCTGTGTGCATGTGTGCATGCGCGCACGCATTTCCATTCACATAAGCACATGCACATCCTTGTGCTGTCAAGTTGCCTCAGAGTT